GGACGACAAAAAAATTGTTCTGATCATCGTTATCGAAGTGAATAATCATTTGACTTTCCTGATCGGCAAAAAGTCATTTTGAAAAGTGTCTAATGTCGGAGTCGCTCAAACGTCGGTCGCTCAAATGTCGAGCGCTCAAATGTCGAGGTCGCTCAAGTGTCGGTCGCTCAAGTGTCGATCGCTCAAATGTCGTGCGCTCAAATGTCGGGGTCGCTCAAATGTCGGGTGCTCAAATGTCGGGTGCTCAAATGTCGGGGCTCAAATGTCGGCGCTCAAATGTCGGGCGCTCAAACGTCGGTTGACGATTTTTTCGTAGATTGTACCATGATTTTGTGTTAACATAAGTTTTTGTTCTTCCGTACCACGTGACCATAAACGACTAAAAATATGACACTTAACGGAGTTTTGAGTGAAATTAACGCGTTAAATTCCGTTAAATGCATTTTTCACGCTATTTCACGGCCAAAACTTCAAGAAAATCCGTTTAATTTTTGCACACGCGTGGAAACGTGTACGTTTTTTAACGCTTTTTCACGCGTTCCATCAATTTTAAGGGAAAGTGCATCGTTTTTCTCCGTTATATGAGAAACGCGTTTTTTACGTTTATCTATATCTAACGCTTTTTAACACGTGAATCGACGTGAAATTTATAATACGTATCCAAACTGGAGATTTCTTTTTTATTTATTAATGTGAGACCCCTGTCGACTTTTTTGAGTCGGTTCTGGTATGAATCGATAGATCTCGATGAGCCCCATCCGACGCTTATATGTGCGGCACGCAGTACTGCGCCCATGACGCGCTGAATAATGTCAAGAATTGCTGCCGTGAATAAGCAAAAATGCATGTGTATTTTCCGTTCGTCACCGTATCGGTCCTGTCGGGTAAGTCGCGACAACAATTTTTTCGTTTTCCCCAAGTCTTTTATCCTGGTTTTTTCCTCGACATCGAATATTATTAAGTTTGATTCATGCACGATCATTGTTTCTCAAACCTTTTCTCCTTGTATATATTCTTCAAATGTCTATTCTCTTCTGTCTCTTGAAACTATTCACCGTGTTTCCCCAACCAATTCACTGATATCCAACTGTGCTGTTTTCTTTCTTATTCTTTCATTTGATCGCGTTAAATGTAACTTTTGTAACGCGTGGAAACAACACGCAATCTTTCTGCTATTTCAACCGCGCTTTTCCATTTCCGTCTATTTGGGCTTTTCCCGTTTCATCCCATAAATCCTTCGTCCTGTGCACTATTCCATTCTATCTCACTCGACTTCTTCATTTATTCGTTCCGTGTCCATACCGTGTCCCGCTGGACCTGTTCATTTTTATGTCTAGTTCCATTCCTTTTCGCGGCTCGTACCACGTCTCCTTCCGCTCCTTTCCGCGTCTCTTTCCGTCCTGTCCCGCTCCACTTTGTCCATTCCGCGTCTCACCATGCCTGGTCCCATTCCGCTCGACCTGTTTATTTTTATGTCCGGTCCGGCCCCTTTCCGCGTCTCGTCTCGCCTTCTTCATTTTTTGTTCCATGTCCGTATTCTGTCTCGCTCCTTTCCGCGTCCCGTCCAGTCTCATTCCGTCTCATTCAGTCCCGCTCGAGCTATTCATTTTCATGTTTATTTCCGTCTGATTCCGCCTACTATCCATAGCACGTCTCGTCCAGTGTCCCTCCAGTCCCTGTTCTCTACATTGTAAATATTTCTGGTGCTTTATCATTCCTTAGAATCCGTTCTTTGCAACCTCAGATATCCTTTTATGGGTTTGTTCTCTTCATAAACCTTTCAATAAGCAGTGTTGATTTGAAAAACTCCAAATGGATTGTGTTTAGTTACGAATTAAAGTTATGCATTAGTTATCATGGCAGCTAATGTGCCCTTCTAGAATTTATCAGTGACGAAAATCCGTGATGCAAAATTTACAACTCTCTCCAAATGCTTTCACTGCAGGATTTTTGTCGTTGATAAACACCAGAAGGGCACATTAGCTGTTGTGATCACTAATAGGCTATTTAAATTCGTAATTGAACTCAATACATTCCTAAATTCATAAGTCACAAGCGTTTGTTAAAGGATTTATGCAGTGAAGAAACCCATAAAAGGATGTCTGAAAATCCAACGAACGGTTTTGAGTGTTAATAAAACTACAGAAGTTTTACAGTGTGTTTAACGCGTTAAAAGGATCATATTTAACGACGATTCACGCGTTTTGTTCTCGAAAACGCGTTAAAAGAGTCGTATTTAACGGCATTTCACGCGTTTTTCTCTCTTAAACCGTTAAATTTTTAACGAAGTTTAACGCGTTTCTTCGTGTAAACGTGTTAGTTTTTCGGTGAATTTAACGCGTTTTCACGGACCAAAATGGGACATCCGTCCGGACATCCATTTTTTCACGTCGTTTTTTGCGTTAAATTGACAATTCTCTTTACATGGGCTAACTTATGTTATTTATCATTCGAATTGTCACTGATGTTTATGGACAGACATTAATGAGAAAAACTCATCACTAATTATTTGCCTCAACTCAAAGTATTTCCACAAAATAAACGACTAGATGAATACGCTTTTGCAGCTATTTGAATAAAGTTATAAGTGGTCTATTCATTATTATTTGAATTATGAAATTAGCTTAATTGAACTCGGATGAACTGGAATCGATGACACTTCCTGTAATCAAAGAAGTTCTAATGAGAATATACTTCACTCCTTCTTTATCTCAAACATGCCTAATTCTTTGAAAAAAAATGGCGCGTTACGGAACCCACTTTCTGATAAAAAAGGTTCTGCGCTGTATCCGATGACAGAACCTCCGAAAAATGGTTCTGGACAAAAAAATGGTTCTGACACCCTCTGCTAAAACCTTTTTTTTGTCCAGAACCATTTTTTCTTGTTCAGAACCATTTTTCGGAGGTTCTGTCATCGGATACAGCGCAGAACCTTTTTTATCAGAAAGTGGGTTCTGTAAAGCGCCATTTTTTTAGAGCGTTCGCTTTACTACAAATCGTCAACTTGTAGCGAAGCCTCCATTCAATAAACACTTTCATACTTATTCCAAACCTTGAGCAATTGAAGTTCGATCAACCAGTCATTTTATATTCATTACTATTTGTTCTTTAATTCCAATTTCAAAGTTTTTTAGTCAAAATCAAAAATGCATCGATTCATATGCTTGATTACGAGAAGCTATGTTAAATTAATGAATTGATCAATCTTCGAGCGTTAAATATTCAGTGTCAAGATAACAAACACAAAAAATATGTCAGACCATCTATAGAAGATAAAGTTATCATATGACCACGATTATTGCTACCATTTACAATTAGAATATTAAGAGTATCTGAGGTAAAATTGACAATTTATTTACAAAATTAAAAATAAAGAATAAAACAAAATTATCTGTTTGGAAACTGATACTGTTATGGCCTTATCAGATCACAAGCCTCGATTCTCATTTTCTGTCTTTGTGTATTAGCCGTGTGATTTTTCTTCTTCTTTCGTATATGTACTGTCCAGTTTTCTTTTTCTTTAAATTTTTCTTTTTCGCGTCAGTCTAGTTTTGTACAGTGCTAGATATACAGATTTGTTATACCTTTTGTTTTCACATTATTCAATAAAAGCACACTTTTCGTGCACACCTTTTATCTCGATTTTTGTCAGCCTGAGTAATAGAGCACGGGGCTTTCTTTCACTAAACTACTATAGTCACTGATGTCAGCCCAATTTTTTCGCTTTGTAGCCGATATTACAGGCTATTCGCTTATGATTAGCCAAAAAATTCCAAATGCAGTCTGAGGGCTCCTATTAAAAATTTTCAAGTAATTCCTATATCAGAAGTCTGTTTCCTTTATATTGTGACAAACAAACTTAAAATGAGAGAGTTGAGAATCCTCTATCATCCGTTTCTCTAGTAACGAGCAGTCAAT